ACAATAGCTAATATATATTATTGTCAGTGTTGTTAATTACTGTGTAATAAAATCTTTTTTCCTGGCAATCAACTATCTTGTACAGGCAGACATTTTGCTACCATACAATCTAGTGTTGGGGGCAAAATAGCTACTTCTCCATATTATATTTGATGCACCTGAAAAATCTAAATGGCAAATAATAGGTGATTTAGCATTAATTCATCATATTTTACTGGTAGTTCTTAGTGGGTAATGGAAAGAGGCATGGTGGATATTAGCAGGCTGAAACATTTTACCATCAACTCCTTTGTGCAAGAAAGGTGCATAAAATATATCATCCAAGATAAGTATGACCAGAAAGGAGATGGGTCATGGATAATAAAAAGATAGTCCAAGTGTTGTCTACCAAGTGGTAAAAGTATTAGAAGCCAGTCCTCCACCATGTCAGAAACATGAATCCTCTATAGAAGATTTAAAGGATATGACAGAAAAATGCACTTTTAAGCATTTATTATGCACCCACTGTTTGCAAATATGAGAGACGGATAGAGAGCTGACTCTGAGGCCAGGAAGTCCTGAATTCAAATCCTGCCTGCCTCTGACATACATTTTGACTCTGAGCAAGTGACTTAACCTCTCAGTTCTCTGGATAACTCTTTAACACTACAAGTTGAAGAAAAGGTACTGACTTACATTAGTAAAAGAATCACATAGGAATTCTCTATTCTAATGAAATCACAGGCCCTTAACCTTTTGGCTAGCCACTGTGCTGTGGGCTGAGGCCACAAAGACAAAAATAAGATAGTCCCTGACCTCAGGAAGCTTATATTCTACTAGGAGGATGGGGCATGAAGGCTTTGCTATTTGCACTTGCAAAGGGTGCACCCATGCAGATGAAATCACAGATCCATTTAATAAATGGATAATTAAGAGCAACAGGAAAAGAAAGCCATTTAGGAAATTATTTCAGCATGCAATCAGTTTATTTTTCAGATCACCTTTTGAAGAAGCTACTAAAAGATATTAGCTGAAAATGAGATATGCACACAAAATGTTCTAGACCTAAATGAAAAACTTTAAATTAATGTTGTTGATTATGGGCCACCTATCCAAGAGTTTTGAAATAACTGCAAGTAAAATCGGGGGACCAATAACCAAAATGTGTAAACTGCCATTACAAATGGTCACTGATCATTGCACAGACCTACTTGGAGAAAACGTGTAAAGAGAAATCGGGCACTGAGAATTCTTTGTGGGGATGAGTAAGCTCATAGACGAAGGAGAATATTGTATTCAGCCTAGTTTGATAACATTAAAAAGCTGAGGAATAGCTAGTTAGGCAGTTAAGTGATGAAGTGGAGAAAGTATAGGACCTGGCATGAGGAAGACCTAAGTTTGAATCCAGTCATAAATGCTTAATAGCTGTGTGACTTTGGGCACTCCATGACCTAGCCTTTCTCAGTTTCCTTTCTTACTTTCAGTTTCCTCATCTATAAAATGGGGATAATAATAGTGCCTACCTTTTAGGGTTGTTGTGAAGATCAAATGAGTAAATGTGTAAAACACTTTGAAGACCTTAAAGCACTATATAAATGCTAGCTGTTTGTTGTTGTTGTTGTTACTGTATGCAGAGGAAGGTAACCAAAATAGTAAAGGGCCTTGCATTAATGACTTATGAGGACTGATCAAAGGAAATGGACTTGTTTAGTCTCGAGAAAAGAATCAGGGTGGACATGATAGCCATATTGAAATATTTGAAAGGTGTTCATGTCAAAGTGGAATTGGACTTCTTCTGTTTGGCTACCAAGGCCAGAACCAAGAACAAGGTGAGTAGGAATTGCTACAAAGCAAATTTAGGATTGATTTCAGGAAAGAAAAAAAAAAAAACTTCCTAAAGATTGAAACTGTCCAAAAGTCAAATGGTTTGCCTTGAGGAGGGATGGGTTCCTCTTCCTTGGGGGTCTTCAAGTAGAAGTTGGCTTGCCACTTATCTCCATTATATTATAGTAGGGATTCTCATAAGGTCAACTAGATGATCTTTGAGTTCTCTTCCAACTCTCAAATTAAAATTACATATTCTGTGAGAGAAATTTTGATTTTTAAAAATCCCATACAAAAAATTGTTCTAAAAAGCTAACTTGTCATAGGATAGCATGGAATATTTTTTCATAGAAATTGAATAAATCCAGGAAACAAGGGTTAAATGGTCACGGTGGGGAGAGGCAGGAGGGCAAAGAGTAAAAATATTAATAATAAAGTCTCCCAGTCTTATTATACGATGTTTTATAAATGATCTAGAAGAGGAAGTACACAATAAATTCTTCAGCTTTGAAGATGTGACTGGACTATTTTGGATAGAGAAATGTCAAGTTAAAACAAAGCTGCTAGAAAATCTTTAAAGCCTGCCTGAGTGGGAAGAAAAGTGACAATTAAGATTTCATGTGGGTGAGTGTAAAGTGATCTCAACTATGTTTAGAGGATTATAGTTCCTGGGCTGTTAATTACCACTCAGGAATCTAGGTTGGACATAATGGTCACTGAAAGTCCTTTCTAACTCTCAAATTCTGTGATTCCATGAGAGAGGTTTTGATCTAGAAATCATTATAAACTATTCACAGAAGCCCAAAAGTGGCAAGGAAACAAAAAGCAGAGAAAATATGGCTGCAATATTTCAAGGATCTCTGATTTCATTGATGTGAAATGAACCATGGCACCAGTTTGCAACCCGCCCTCCCCACTCCTCTCCCAATCCTTGATTTTAATAGTTGGTTTCACAACCTTTTGGACAAAAATCAATTCACTACCTATTGGCCAACTGCTATTTAAGAGCTTTCCAACATTATCAAGGTTGTTTTTTTTGGAGAATGACTACCCCATCCTTTGTCAGGCACATCTAAACAGTCTTTCTAGCTTGGTAATACTTTCCAGAGCTTATACAACACTGGCACAATCCTCATCATCAGTTCTTAGTCTTTATCCTTCTTCACTGCTGCATTTGACACTTATCATATCATAAAGGAAATTGACTTGTTTTCAAATCCTAGAATAGCAGAAACTGGGATAGCTACTGATGTTTGAAGAGGTGGTTTCAGATCATATATAAAAAATGCTACTTTATAGAAAGGGTAACACCATCTGAAGAGGTGGTCCAAGGGAAAACAAAAACCAACTCAAATCAAATAAAAAAATCAGGATTTAGAAAATTTCCCAGGCTGTGTTTGAAGCACCTCCTTAACCTTTTGGGACTTGATATCCTGAAAGGAAAACATCTACTCCCACTCAACATATCTTTTTGGCACTGTCAGAGAAAGAATAATGGGCTAGTTGCTGTCAGAACCTGCTCAAGATACAACTACAGCAGCTTAAGCAGGAAGAAAAAGGAATAAGGTATGATCATCCACCCTAGGGTATATATGGTAAAGACCAGCAAAGCTTCATCTCTGACAGCTGGGATTCCATAGATATCCTCTGCCTATTCTTGACCCTTTCCAATCTGATTAGCTTTATTAGAATTAGAAACTTGTGTGTTTCTTGGTCATTGGTCTTTGATTTGCCCTTTACAACTTCCCTGTCCCTGTTGGTCTCCCTTTCAGCTCCTGCCCATCTGCATGCAGACTATCCCAATACCTAGTTCTCCAAGCTAGAGTTTCCTTATCTCTCACTGCAATCAAGAACCTGCTTAGCCTCCTCCCAGGCCCCTATTTTTTTTTTAAACCATGCTTTACAACTCCAACTACCTCATCTACCTCTGGGTAGAAAAGCTAATATTTTCACAGGGCCCCTTCCAGGGCCAGCCTCACCATTGATAGAATAGCTAGAGAATTTCTCTGATGAAACAAACCTCATTATTATATTCTTCTGATGAATATGTTCTGATGATTATGTTCTTCTGATATACTTTGGGACTTTCATTCGGAAAAATAGGATCTGAATCCCAGGTCTGACATTATTCCTTGTGAAACTTAGTAGCTCTTGTCCAAATCACTAGACTTGTCTGAAACACAATTTCTTCATGTATAAATTGGGAATCATACTTTCACTACCCATTTCACAGAGTTATTGGGATGAAAACTCTATTAGTATGGGCTATTATTTATATACTATAGTAACCACTTTTATAAATTCTATATTGGATTCTTGTTAGCATTTGAAGTTTCTGAGTTGCTACTGATTTTACCTATTATTTTAACATTTACCAGTTGTGTTTATTTGCTTTGAAGTTCCATATAATTGGAAATACTTTCATGAAAACCTACAATAGTTTCTAGAGAAGAGAAAAGGTTAGACCATCCAGACAGTAAGAAAACCTAAGATCTTAAATTATATGTCAGAGAACTAGAAGCTAGTTGGATGTACCATAAATAGAAAAAGGAAAGGTAAGGCTATCTAGTTCAACCCCCTCGATTTACGGATAAAGGAACTTTATCCATAAGGTTAAATGACTTGTCAAAGTTATAGAGTTAGTAAGTGGAAGGGCTGAAATTGAACCCAGGTTCTCAGACACCAAATCCAAGAATGGTTCCTTCCATATTCCAGGGATCCTTTCTCTGGGACTAAAGGACCTCTCTATGGGAGAGATTAAAAAAAAAGAATAATTCATAATTACATAGCTTTTTGACCTTTTAGAATCATATTTCCAAATGTTTTCCTTCACTCTCACCAAATAATCCATCCCAAACTGGTGGTCCAGCAATACATCATGTTGGTAATACTTTCCAGAGCTTATACAACACTGGCACAATCCTCATCATCAATTACCCATGGTTTTTTTTTCTAAGTGCTCTGGGTAATTATAATTGAAAAGACTACTACAGTACCTTCCCTTCCTCTTTACAAATTCATGATTATGTTGCAGAACTCTCTTAAAGCCTCATGTGCCCAAAGAATTAAGGAATTCCTTACTTTTGCCACCGATAATCAATGGTTAGATGAGCATTTCTAACTAAGACAATACCTTTCCCTTGGCTTCCCATTATTTGAAATTTCTGCTATTCATATACCTTGACTGAGATACCCACCTGTCTAAGGCCTCATGGGAACCATGTCTATTGAGCACCACTCTGCCATAGTTTTCATCTCTGAAGATTAAAAAAAAAATAGAAATAGTTACTACAGCATTTGGTAAATATAAAACAAAGGAGAAGGGGAAAAAAAGATCTCACAATTTTCTGGCAAAGGTTTCTTCATTTCACTGCAGGCAAAAGAAAATAAGCATCTATTTATTTTAACCAGTTACCATTTGACTGCTCATGAGGACATGAAAATAGTCTGTCAGTACAAAGGGCAATTTTTCTAAAGTGCCTCATGACATTTCCATGAAGTTCAACAACTGCATCAATTTTTCATCAGGGTGTGGGAACATGGGACCACCTATTTTTCAATGTATTTCAAATAGTTTTTTAAAGCAGAAAGGCAGATGCATAAGTCTATCCCAATCTAAGCAGGCAGTTGAACTTGTAAGAAGATTATTATGTGCTTATTTGAAAAACCTGGTAGATTTCACTTCAGATATCCAGACATTTTAATTTGAAATGATAGAATAATGGGTTTGTAGATCTAGAAAGGGACTTAAAGGCTATCAAATCAAATCCCTTTGGTTTGCATTTGAGGAAACTGAAGCCCAGAGAAGGTAAGCAATGCACCTACTATGCTTTTCCACAGCAGAAAAAAAGAAGCTTAGGAAAAACAAACAACAATTAATGTAATAATTCAAAAGAGAAAGAACATTTTAAGCCTCTGAAACTACAGTTTCTCTAGTTAGAATAGACCCTCATATGTGCTATCTAAAAGCCATATCTGCTTTACTTTGTATAATGATTTGAAAAGGAAACTAAGAAGCTTAGGCAATTTTAGGAAATGTCAAAACATGTAGTATGGTCTATGGACATGAGCCAAGGCAGGAAGTACCTACATGGAGCTGCATCATATCAACCCAACCTGAAATACCACATTTTTTCCTAGCTTTGCTCCCTTAAAGTTTCTCAGTACTGTGAAAATACATTTAATGAATGTAGAAAAAAGAACCGTATTTATAATTTTTTTTTAAATTCTGAGCATTGAGATTGGAATAATAAAAAAAGCTGCTCTTGCTAGCTGGAGGTTCAGTGCCTTTGCCCACTTGGACTCACACCTGTGCCCTGTTGATGCTTAACTTATCTTTCATGCTATGCCATGCCATGAAGTTGAGAGGGAGCGGCAGGAAGAAGGGGAGGCTCTCCACTTGCAGGAGAAGAATCACAAGCAAACCAGAAGCTGGCCATCTAGAGTAAAAGAAAGATGTTGCCAAAACCAATTCCCCCCTTGAGCTGCAGCAGCCCATATCTGTCTACTGTCCTGTATCTTGTTAAGGAAGTATACTTGGTACAAAACCACTTTCCATTCTCTCCTGCTGCTGCCTTGGAATAAATTAGGTCCTCAGTATCATTGGCATATGGATGTATAAATTCCACTATGTCGGAACATTAAAAATGCCATAATGTATCAGACCAATGGTCCATATAACCTCACATTTTGATTTTACTGTACCATCCTAGGCTATGTTCAGTTGGATGTTGTTGCCCCCCTTTCATGATATTAATCTTAGAAGATTAGAAATATTCCACACATGCCCCCTAACTTCCTTTAACCAATGAGAAAGGCATCATGATGTAGTTCAAGGAGTGCTGGGTGTAGAGTCAAGAACCTCAATTGAGATCTTAGCTCTGTAACTTACAATCTAGATTAGTCACTGAATTTCTCTGGGACTTAACTCCTCATTTGTAAAATGAGGGGTGGGACTAGATGATCTCTTAAGTCCCTTCTAAAAGTCGATGATGCTATGATTCTAAGATTTAATGATAAATATTGAGGTACAATTGTATTGATAAATATGTGAATCTATATCTCAACAATGCATGTAGCTCTATACAGTAAATTTTGGGCTAGTATGTGGCCCATGTTCATCAGTGTCCCATAGGGAAAAACAATGGTGCCACAGCAAAAGAGCTACATCCTCCCAAGTATGTAATTAGTAAAACTGAAAATTCATAAAATTTATGGAAAAATTGAAGAGAAAGAAGAAGCTTGGTTTCATTCTTATAGACTATAAGCTGCTTGAGGGCAGGGATTATTTCATTTTTGGCTTTCTATCCCCAGCACCTGGTGCCTAACACATAGTAGGCAGTAACCAAATGCTCGTTGATTGGTTGGTTGGCTGTTCAATTTTTTTTTCAATAGAATCTGTAATTTCACTGATATGACAAACTTGTGAGGAGGAAATTCTTTCTACCAATGTAGATAATCACTGCTTTGAAACAGTAATAAAGAGTTGTCTGGTACACCAAGAGTTTTAGTGACTTTGCCAAGGGCTACATAGCCTGTAAGAATAAAGATCATATTTGAACCCAGATTTTCCTAACTCTGAGGTCAGTTCCCTATCCTCTACTCTAGGGGTCTCCAAACTTTTTTGATGTCATACCTCTAGGGGTCTCCAAACTTTTTTGATGTCATACCTCTGTTAGTAAAAATTCTTTTAGCATATACCTCCTTCATTTACCAATTTCTAAATAATATATATGAACTACTGTACTAGTAATTATGTATGTGATAAAACTTACACAAAAAAATTTTAAAGGATAAAATTAGATGAAATAATATTTGATCCCAGAGAGCTAGAAGAGTCAATTTAGTAGGGAAGTGACAGAGCCAGACCCATGCTTTAGGAAAATTTCTTTGGCAGTTGTATGTAGGATGGATTGGAAAAGGGAAATATTACTTGAGGCAGGGAGATTAACCAGAAAGCTGTTTTAATAGTCCAAAGGTAATGACAGAATGAACTAGGGTAAGTGCTGTGTGAATAAAATGGGAAATACGTTGTGGAGATAGAAATGATAAGACTTGGCAATTGCTTTGACCTGTGCAATTAGGGAAAATAAGAAGTTAAGGATAATAAAGTTATGACCTTGTGTCACTGGAAGGATGATAGAGCCCTTAGTAGAGGTAGGGAAATTCAAGGAGGGATGGGAGGTAATGAGTTCCATTTTATACATGTTCAGTCTGAGATACTGATAACACATCAATTTCAACCAGTCCAATAATCAGAGATAAGGGATTGGAACTCAGGAGAAAGATTATAGGGATCTGAAAAAGAGATCTAGAAGGGATCTACAAGATGATCATTAAACCCATGGAGGTTAATGATGTCACTAAGTAAAAGAGTGTATAGAAAGAAGAGGGACCAAAGCAGGGGTTGTAGACACGGACCATGATGGAGTAAAGGAGAATGAGGAGGAGGAGGAGAACCAAGAGAAAGGATCATCATGACAAGCTGGAGAGGAGAGAAGACATATTTAGCAGGAGAGAGGGATCGACGGTGTCAAATACCTTAGAGAGGTCAGCAAGGATGAGGATTGGGGAAAGACCATCAGAACTGTCAATGAAGAGATTAGCAACTTTAAAGGAATCAGTTCCAGGAGAGTGAGAGTCAAGAATATCAAAGAGGTTGAGAACCTGCGAGGGTAGAAGGTTGGATGTACCATAAATAGAAAAAGGAAAGGTAGCTTTTGGGGAAAAATAATATAATCTCATTCTATCTATGCCTGCTTGTTCTGTGCTACTCACTCTTTCCCAATGAAAAATGATAAGTATTGGGGGAAAGGGGAGTTTACTCATTAGCTACTGCCTTGGAGGGAAGTGCTATCACTCAGGGGCACCTGAAGCAGCCATGAGATAATGGGGAGTTGTAGAGTGCAGGGGTTGAGGATACTTGAAAAAGGCAAAAAGAAGGGAATACACATTTATATAGCATCTACGATGTGCCAAGCATTGTGCTAAGTGCTTTTTAAAAAATATTATCCTATTTGATCCTCACAACAACCCTGGCAGGTAGGTGCTATTATTTCATAATTTTATAGTTAAGGAAACTGAGGCAAACAGAGGTTTAAGTGACTTGCCCAGGATCACACAGCTAATAAGTGTCCAAGGCCAGACTTAGACTCAGGTCTTCTTAATTCCAGGCTCAGAACTATGTCTACTTCATTCTCTAGCTATTTAAACTGCTTCCCTTATTTACTCACTTACTTAGTGAGGAACGCATGGAATTTTACCTGCATAGCTACTCTGTGGCTACCAAGGTCAAGTTAGATTAAAATTCCCCTGAAGGGCTGGCTTCTGGGGTATAGCCAAAGAAGGCCCATAGTAGAGTAGCCCTGCTATAGTGGCTTGAATGTTATAGCAGTCACATGAAATATACAACCACACCTTTAGGAAGTGTGCTTATAGACCCTTCTATAATTCCTTGATTTCCTTCATAAATCAAAAATTGAGGGTTCTAAAAGGATATAGCTCTAGGATATTCCTAGTCACTGAAAGACTGTGCAATTACTCTGGGACAGAATACATAATAGCTAAATTCCCTTGTCAGTTCAAATTGAATATGTAACATATTAGGTAAATTATTATGTTATTATTCTAAGTAAGTAAATATAGAATAGTGGACGTTTCCTTAGATTGACGGGATTGTAGCTTATTTGCTCCCTGTCAAGTCAAATTAAACAAGTATTTATTTAGTTCCTACTATGTGCCAAGCACTGAATTAATTTAAATAAAATGCTATTTGTTTGGAATCTGAAAAATAAAGTTTTTTTATTTCAATTTAGTGAGCAAAACATAAGTGCTTTGTCTGATAGACAAAAACAGAACCATAGTATTTCTGATTAATGATTCATATACAACTAAGGATTCCCCACCATCAAAATTGTTTGCTTTCAAAATCTGATCCAGTTAATATACCTGAGTATGAATATACAGACATACACACATATATACACAAAAATAATATCAAAACTATAACAAGGCATAGAATATGTAACAAAATCAATGACAAGGAAATTGTTCATCTTTCTCAATTCATAGGGGCAATGCAATGCAATAAAAAGAACACTGAAATTGTAGTTCAAAGATGATTTCATATCCTAACTTACTACTCGTGTGACCTTGGACAAGTCTTTTAATGTTTGTGTGTCTGAAATTTCCCCATCTGTAAAAAGTAGATTTGTTGTTGATCAGTCATTTTAGTCTTATCTGACTCTTCATGATCCCATTTGGGGTTTTCTTGGCTAAGATACTAGAGTGGTTTGCCATTTCCTTTTCCAGCTCATTTTACAGATGAGGAAATTGAGACAAACAAGGTTAAGTTACTTTTCCATCATCCAGCTAGTAAGTGTCTGAGGCTGGATTTGAATTCAGGAAGATGGATCTTCCTGCCTTGGCACTGCATCCACTGTGCCACCTAACTGCCCTTAAAATGTAAGTATTGGACTAGATAATCTGTAAGGCTTTACATCCTTCCCCCATTCCCTTCCTTCCCCTATTTCCTCCCCCTTACTTTTCTTCTTCTGGGCGTTTCTTTATCCAGCTGCTATCCTGTAAGAAAGTCCTTCGCTTGTTCACTTCATGAAAACCTTGTTGTCTCAGTGCAGTCCCCAGAGTAGTACTCTTCATATCTAATCATTAAAACATAAAAATTTGCTTTACATGAGAACAAAATGAAATTGAGTTCTAGGATTTAAAACATGGAAAAATTTACAGTCGTGCATCAGATTGCCCAGTGTTAAGTACTGAGACTGGCAAGCTCAAGAATGTTCCAACTTTAAGATGTGCTGACAAGAAAAAACAAATCCCACACCTCCATCATAAAAGATAACACAAAAATATTGCATAAATACCAATTAAAACTACAGATGTCAATCACTAGGCATAGTCCTAGTGCCAGGAATACAGAGCTGTGAACCTGGCACAAACACCAACAGTTTATTGACTCTGCTTTTCTCCCCCAGGTGGGCTTTTAAAAGCCCACAGGAGTCATAAAATTTTGACCTAGAATGGCCCTATCAATGATCTAGTCTGTCTCTTTTGTTTTATAGATTAGTAAACTATAGGTTTAATAATTCCCTATTGTATTAGTTTAGATGCTAGCACTGTATGTGTTGTGCATATTCTGATTTTATTAAAAGGAAAAGTTGAACTGGGAAAAAAAAAAACCTTAGCCCAAGAGAGGTTAAGGGACTTACTTAAGGTCATAGAGCTAATTAGTGGTAGACTGAGACTAGATCAAGGAGTGTGTTGGTAAATGTTTATCAACTGATTCTCCAAAAGTGACTCACCAAAATTTAAAAAAAAAGACATGACACATGACTCACTTTTGAAGTTTAATCTTCATTCTTAACATTTTCTCTAACACGCTCTTAGTTTACTAGGGACCCACAAAACGATAAATCAAGCCTTGCTGATTTTAGAAGTGTAAATGTTCACACTTAAAATTTAACCATGGGCTCTCACAAGCCAGTTAGAGCTGGTTCAAACATAGCCTCAGGATCCTGTTCTAATCAACTGCTCTAAGAATCTAGAGGCAGGTAGGTGGCACAATGGATAGAGCACTGGAGCTGGAGTCAGGAAGACCTGAGTTCAAATTTGGCCTCTAACCCTTAGTAGCTGTATAATCCTGAAAAAGTCATTTAACTTCTGTTTGCCTCAGTTTCCTCAACTGTAAAATGAGGATAAAAATAGCACCTACCTCCTAGGGTTGTTGTGAGAATCAAATGAGATAAGAATTATAAAGTGCTTAGCATAGTGCCTGGTTCTATATAAATGTTTATTTCTTTCCCCATCTATAGTTTCCATATGTACTTCCTTAGTAGGAAAGTTCCTGCTCCTTGAAGGTACTGTTTCATTTTTGTTTTTGTTTCTCCAGTGCCTAACCCAGTGTCTGGCACACAGTAGGAATTTTTAAAATTCTTTTTGAATTTACTTTAACTAAATTACTAAGCTATAATATCTTACTTTATGGAAAATATGTTTTTGTCTCTCATCACATTTTCCTGCTCCATGTATTAAATAAAAGTCATTACTTGGAAGGAAGTACATGCAAGATTTATTTTTAAAATCCTTTACATAGTACCTGACAAAAGACTTAATAAAAGTTAGCATTTCTATAGCACTTTAAGGATTGTAAAGTTAACTCATTTTATCCTAACAATAACCCTATAAATTAAGTGTTATTATTATTCCTATTTTGCAGATGAGAAAACTGAGGTTTTACCATAAAGCTACTATGTGTCTGAAGCAGGATTTGAATTCAAGTCTTTCTGATTCCAAGTCCAGCATTCTATCTACTACATTGCCTTATTTAAGAAATGTTTGTTATTTTGAGATACCTGAACTCCTCAGCCTTCATAGTAGCCAGAGTTCACAACAATTTAAATATTTTATTGTTTGATGTCTATTAAAATGTAAGAGTATGGTCTAAAAATAGGAGCACCATTCCTTCTTCTGCATTACTTTTTGTTTGTTTATTTCCTAATGAGTGAAATTAGATTATACTTAGGTATGATTTCTGTATAACCGCTATAATCAGAATGATAGTGTCATTATTTTGTTGTTTGATTGTTTCAGTCATGTCTGATTCTTTGTGACCCCATTTGAGGTTTTCTTGGCAAAGATACTGGAGTGGTTTGCCATTTCCTTCTCCAGTTCATTTTACAGATGAGGTAACTGAAGCAAACAAGGTTAAATGATTTGCCCAGGGTCACATAACTAGTAAGTGTCTGAGGCTGGATTTGAACTCTGGAGGTTGAGTTTTTCTGTTCCCAAGCCTGGCACTCTATCCACTATGCTACCTAGCTACCCAAGTATCATTATACTCTTTACCCTATTCAGACTATATCTAGAGTGTTTTATTCACTTCTGGTTACCACATTTCATGACTGATATAAACAAGCTGAAGCAAGAGAGCACAAAACTAAGTCATCCAAGGATCAAAAGAAAGAACAAGGGATAAAATATTCTTCCCCAATAGAATATTAGCTCTTGTGAATAAGAATTGTTTTATTTTTTGTATCTGTGTTCCCAGCCCTAGCACAGTGCCTGACTCAGAGAAGGCACTTGATTTATGCTTGCTAATGGATAAATATGCTAGTTATGAAGGATAATCATCTATATTACCATTTCCAGGAGATGATTTTCTCAAGGCAATATTTGACATGTTGTTGTCCAGTCAGGATCTGAAATAAAGTGGTAAAAAAAAAACAAACAAACATTAAGTCTATGAATTTAATTTAGGGACTATTTTAGCACTTCTCTCAAACTCTTGTGTTTATTTCCACGAACATATTTTGAGTCAAACACAAACTGTACTCTACTGGAAAATAGTTTATGAGTACATTTAGCTTCAGAGAGTGTATGAACTAAGAGGTACCTTGGAGTGTACCTAGACTAACACTTTGACTTTACAGATGAGCAAAAGTTCAGAGAGAGGAAAAGCCTGGCATTTCCCTCTTTCTCCATTGCCTCTAGAATGAAATACAAAATCTTTAGCATGGTCTTTACCACTATTTACAATCTGGCCCCAACTGGTCATATTTCTTTCCATTACTCTCCTGTGGTTCTTCAGTCACTTTTTCAATCATGTCCAATTCCTTGTGACACCATTCAGGGGTTCGTTTTGGGCAAAGATACTAGAGTGGTTTGCCATTTCCTTCTCTGGGTCATTTTACAGATGAGGAAACTGAGGCAAACAGGGTTAAGAGACTTGCCCAGGGTCGCACAACTAGTGAGTATCTGAGGCAGAATTTGAAGTCGGGAAGATAAGTCTTCCTGACTCCAGGCCCAGTACTCTATCCATTGCTCCACCTAGCTGCTCCATTACTCCCCTAAACACTCTCTATTCTGGGTGAACCGGACTACAAGCTCTTCCCCAAACTTGCCTTGCAATCACTTCCTCTACAACATTCACATTCCAAGCCTGGAAAGCACATCTGACTTTATGAAACCTTAAATTCTTCTTCTAGACTCAGCTCCAGTGCCACCTCTGCCATAAGAGGTGATCTGGGCAGACCAAATCTACCCAGAGGAAAGTCTTCTTTTCCTCCTCAACTATTTCTAGGTCTGGATCTCGTCTTTGCCCTCAACATTCTCTACCTTATATTGAATTGTCATCTCCTTGAGAGCAAGAACTCTATGTTATATACCCTTCATTCAACTGTACAAAAACTTGCATCAGTAAGGAAGTTGTATATCTTCTGGTTTTAAGTCTTAATTTGTACCTTATACCCAAATTACTGAGAAGAAGAAAAACTAAAGAGGCCTTCTTGGACAATAGTAGAGATCACCAAGTGTTTTCTCTTACCTAAAAAAGGACAAGAAGGAGAGGCAGTACCGTGTAATGGATAGAGACCTGTCCTTGCAGCCAGGAAGACCTGGATTCAAATACCACTTCTGAAATAGCAATCTAGTCCAACTCCTTTCTGAAGCCTGAATAACATCATGATGGCTGTTTGATGCTGGGCAAGTCACATAATTTCTCAATACTCTTGGCAACTTTCTAAGACTGTAAGTTGCAAAGCAGGTAGCCTTCATTGGTAAAGTGAGTTTCCTCACCAGCTAGTTCCCTCTACAAGTGAAATTAAGGTGTGGGGCTTATTCTATTACATGAAGACTGATGAGTGGATGTTATTGTTGTTGCTGTTCAGTTGTGACCCCATTTGGGGTTTTCTTGGCAAAGATACTGGAGGGATTTGTCATTTCCTTCTCTAGCTCATTTTACAGATGAGGCAAACAGGGCTAAGTGATTTGCCCAGGGTCACGCAGCTAGTGTGTGTCTGAGGCTGGATTTGAACTTAATTAATGGATATCTGAAATCTTAATTTTTATATAGTCAAGCCATGGGAAAACTGTTAAAGTTAACTAATCCTTTTACCGAAGAATACTGACAGATATTCTGCCTTTCTTAACATTTGATGGGAGATAATTGTCACCTAATCAAGAAAGTACATAAATGTTTGCACTCTCAGAGGGAACGTTCCCATTGACCCTTGCATGTTCTCCCAGGGTATGCTCTGTGCATGCCAATACAACTAATAAAAAGATGCCTACCAAACTAAAAGTTAAATCCAGAGAGAAAAGGTAGTTCTCAAGGAAGTGGTGCAGTTATCAAACACATGCTATCTTTACTAGGTGAGACAGAACCAAGATTTCTCTCTTAGAAAGTAAATAGACTGGAAAGAATGATTTGCAATATAAGACGGGAAGTTAGTATGGCGGGCTTTAATATCATCAAAACAAAACTAGGTGATGAAGGTGACTGACATGTGCTAGGATTGGCATCCACCTCTGAAATCAAGCCCCAAAAGAGCCAGAGCAATTGTAGCAAGTGACCAATAGCAACTTCTGATCATCTTTGCCAAAAGAGTCCAACAGAACTGTCCCCAGGTTATGGTGATGAAAGGTTCTATAGAGGCTAGTATAGTTCCTATGCTGCCTTTTCCACACCAGTCCCTGTTTCCCCAACTCATACACATTTAACACTAACAGACTTTCACAGTATTTTCCTCACAGCAACCCTGAAAAATGTAGCAACTGAGTAAGGTGATTAATATCCCTGGGTTTCAGTTTCCTCATCTGTAAAATGAACAGGTTCAAGAAGATGGCTTCTGAGATATTTTCTAGCTTTAGTTCTATTATCCTATGATTAGAATTCCCATTTTGTACATGAGAAAACCAAGGCTCAGAGAGATGAAAATAGAAGGGATATCACAAGGGTGTGCTGGAGCCTGCTGAAAAAAGCCAGATGTTAAATTTTCAGTGTGAGTATTTTACATCTCAGAAATCAGCAGATGCTGAATATCAGAATTAGATTTATTGTTTTGTTGATTATTTAGATTTAAGAAAATGAGAGAGAAAATGTTAATCATGGAGAATAAACTTTTTGTTTTATTTTTGGTTTTTTTGCTTTTTGGTGAGGTAATAGGGGTTAAGTGACTTGCCCAGGGTCACACAGCTAGTAAGTGTTAAGTGTCTGAGGCTGGATTTGAACTCAGGTCCTCCTGACTCCAAGGCCAAAGCTCTATTCACTACACCACCTAGCTGCCCCATAAACTTTTTTTTTAAAGAGTCAGTTGCTAACCATCTACCAGAACACTCCTGGATAAGCAACATGTTGAACCATAGAATAAGTAGACAAAAATACCTCAATGGACTCGGATAATGGGTCATATTTATTAAGGTAAAATTTAGTAGAGAAAACTAACTAATTCATAGAATCATAGAGTTAGAAGGGTTCTTAGCAGCCCTCTAGTCCAAAACCTTTCTGAAGCATGAATGACATCATTAACAAGTGGTCATAAATACTCATTGTGTACAATCTCAGGCATAAGGAGCTAACTACCTAACAAGATTCTATATTCCATATTTGGGAAGAGCTCTAATAACTAGAAAGTGCTTCCTTACTCTTAGCAGAAATGTGTCTCCCTATAACTTCCATCCCTTCATCCTTCTTCTACCATTTAGGGACAAGCAGAGTAAAGTTATCCCTTCCACATCTGACTTTCCCCATTGCAGTTTCGACATATTGCAAGTCAGCATAAGAAATTAAATGGGAATTTGGGGGAGTTTTGTGGAAGCCACGGACAACACAGAAAAAGTTTAGAAACTCAGAAATGCATAAAATATATGTATAGTGTTATATAATATCAACATATTTTATCTTTTAATACCATAATAATTCAGATTTCTTCTTTGGTACAAAGAGAGGGCCAAAAGATTTTACACGGATTTTCCAGATCACAGAAGCACTGTGTCCCTAACCCCTGTAATGTGGAAGGAATAACTGTAATCAAATTTCTTTTCTATCTTCTTCCTTCATTGGTTTGAAGTGATTGTGTGATGCTTAGGTCATGTCTTCTCCAGGCTAAATAGCCTCAGTTCCTTCAACTGGTCCTGCTGTGATATGGTTATAAGCTTCCTTACCCCTCTGGTTGCTCACTAGCTTGTTAATATACCCTCCTAAAATGCAGAAATGAATGAAATATTCCAGATGTAGTCTGACCAAGGAAAAGCACAAGGGTAACAGAACCATTTTTATTCTGGACCTTCTATTTCTACTATTTCTACTATCATCTCATTTTTGTTATGATACACACTATCATCACATACTGAATCCACAATCCAAAAATACAAAACCCTAGGTCTTCTCTATGTAAACTCCTACCTGGTTATTTCTCTCTCATTCAATACAGTTCTACAGTTGGGTTAAAAATTTTCACTTTGTAAGACAGAATGCAGATTCTGGTGCTAGATAGTAGTTCAAATGAAAAAGGTGGACTGCAAGGTCAATATGAGCCAACAGTATGATATGATAACCAAATAATCTAACATGATCTAAGGTTCTCTTGATAGAAGGACAGTATAAGAAAGGGGAAAAAATGATAGATCATCCCTCTGTTGTCTGCCTGGTCAGGCCATATTACTGCATTTTTAATGCTTTACATTTTTTAACATTCAATTTTCATTTTTAAGAAGGACATTAACTAAGTAGATAGTGTTTAAAGAAGAGTGGCCAGTATGGTCCAGAGACCAAAGACCATCTTATTTGAAGATTGGTTTAAAGAGCTGAAGATATTTAGCCTGAATATAGCCATCTTCAAAGTATCTGAAGGGCTGCCAAATGGAAGAGGCAAATGTATCTCCCTTTAACTTTCATCCATTCATCCTATTTTTAAGCCACAGAGGTCAGAGCTTACAGTAATAATTAGAAGTTGAACAGATTACTTTTGACATAAGGAAAAACTTCCTAACAAGTAGAATTATCATAGGATCATAGATTGAGAGTTGGAAGAGACCTGCAGATTATTAAATACACCTCTCTCATTCTACAGATGAGGAAATTGAGGCCCAGAAAAGTTAAGTGAATTTCCCAGGACAACATAGCTAGTAAGTGTTTGAGGTGGGATTAGAACTCAGATCTTTCTGACCCCCTACTCCACTATTCTGTAATGGGCTGATTGCTTCCCCATCACTAGGATGGGGAACTAAGGATGTTGTACTAGACATGAGGACCTCTGAGATCACTTTCCAAACTGAGGCCTTTTCAGATTTCTTGTACAGAGTCACAGGGCTAGTATTAAAGCTCAGAACCTTGGTCTTTTGACTTGAGGGCCAGCACTTTCCCCACTATACCAGGGTTGGCTATGCCTTCACTTTAAATCCACAATTTCCCTCCTTGTTT